TCTAATAGTTAGTGATGTTGAGCAGCTTTTCATGTGCTTCTTGGCCATCTGTATGTCTTCTTTGGAGAAATGTCTATTTAGGTCTTCTGCCCATTTTTAATTGGGTTATTTGTTTTTTAAATATTGAGCTGCGTGAGCAGTTTATATATCTTGGGAGATTAATCCTTTGTCCATTGATTCGTTTGCAAATATTTTCTCCTATTCTGAGGGTTGTCTTTTTGTCTTGTTTGTAGTTTCCTTTGCCTTGCAAATGCTTTTAAGTTTCATTAGGTCCCATTTGCTTATTTTTGTTTTTATTTCCATTACTTAGGAGTTGGATCAAAAAAGATCTTGCTGTGATTTATGTCAAAGAGTGTTCTTCCTATGTTTTCCTCTAAGGGTTTTAAAGAGTCCAGTCTTACATTTAGGTCTCTAATCCATTTTGAGTTTCTTTTTTATTTATTTTTAAATTTTTTTGTGGTACGCGGGCCTCTCACTGTTGTGGCCTCTCCCATTGCAGAGCACAGACTCCAGACGCGCAGGCTCAGCGTCCATGGTTCACAGGCCTAGCTGCTCCACGGCATGTGGGATCCCCCCGGACCAGGGCACGAACCTGTGTCCCCTGCATCGGCAGGCAGACTTTTAACCACTGCGCCACCAGGTAAGCCCCTTGACTTTATTTTGTGTATGGTGTTAGGGAGTGTTCTAATTTCATTCATTTACATGTAGCTGTCCAGTTTTCCCAGCACCACTTATTGAAGAGACTGTCTTTTTTCCATTGAATACCCTTGCCTCCTTTGTCATAGATAGTTGACCATAGGTGCATGGGTTTATCTCTTGGCTTTCTATCCTGTTCCATTGATCTATATTTCTGTTTTTGTGCCAGTACCATACTGTCTTGATTACTGTAGCTTTGTAGTATAGACTGAAGTCAGTCAGCCTGACTCCTCCAACTCCGTTTTTCTTTCTCAAGATTGCTTTGGCTATTCGGGGTCTTTTGTGTCTCCATACAAATTTTAAGATTTTCTAGTTCTGTAGAAAATGCCATTGGTAGTTTGATAGGGATTGCACTGAATCTGTAAATGGCTTTCAGTAGTCTAGTCATTTTCACAAGGTTGATTCTTCCAATCCAAGAACTAGGTATATCTCTCCATCTGTTTGTATCATCTTTAATTTCTTTCATCAGTGTCTTATACTTTTCTGCATACAGGTCTTTTGTCTCCCTAGGTAGGTCTATTCCTAGGTATTTTATTCTTTTTGTTGCAATGGTAAATGGGAGTGTTTCCTTAATTTCCCTTTCAGATTTTTCGTCATTAGTGTATAGGAATGCAAGAGATTTCTGTGCATCAATTTTGTATCCTGCAACTTTACCACATTCATTGATTAGCTCTAGTAGTTTTCTGTTGGCATCTTTAGGATTC